CATTAACTAAAGGGGGGGAATGGTAGGGGTGGGAGTGTGCAGGGTGGAGGGGAATGAAGGGGAGAATAGAACAACTGTAATGGCATGATCAATAAAATAAAAATTAAAAAAAATAAATAAAACTAAAGGAAAAATCCTCTGGGAACACAAGCAGAAGGAGCCCCAAACTTTGAAGGCCAGAGAACTAAACTAGAATCAGACTTCTCAAAAGTAACATAAAAACAAGGTCGTAGTGCTCACTTCAGCAGCACATATATTAAAACTGGAAGAACACAGGATAACGCAGGGCTTCCCAAGCACGGATGACATGTAAATTCATGAGGTGTCCCACATTTTTATCTGATTGTCTAACCACTATGCAGTACACCTGAAACAGACAAAAAATAACACTAAATGTAAACCATAATAGGAAAAAAATAAACCATGGTAATAATGAAATGGCATTGTCAAGTAACTCAACTAAAAAAATTATGAACCCAGGATTTTATAGCTAGCTGTCCTCCAAGTATTAAGTCTATTAAAAAAAAACCAGCCTAAACATGCAAGAAAATATATAGCCATGAACTCTTCTGGAACATTCTACTACAGGATAAGCTTCATCCAACGAACAGATTATTGTGGACACTTCAGAAAAAGGACTGATGGTGACCACTTACTAAATTTAATGTTTACCAAAGACACAAAGGTGGATGATGGTTAAAAAAATTAAAATGTACTTATTCTGACAAGATAAAAATAATGCAACTGAAAATAGGAGCAAAGAAGAAAGGGAAAGAGAAAATCAGAATGAGTGTGTTATTACTGAGTATGTAATAGCTCAAAGAATACCATTAAGAACTAACAAAACAGTGAAAGTTTAAATATGAATATAGGCTACTAGGAACATTTTAAAAAGGTGTAAGTTTAAAGGCAAGTAGAAATAAAAGGAGAAATTCTTATGGTAGAGGAATTAAAAACAGTGACACTGGACTTCCAGCCAAGATGGAGGCATAGGTAGATACACTGTGCCTCTTCCTACAACCAAAGGAAGGACAACAACAAATTTAAAAACAAAAAATAACCAGGACTGCCAGAAAATCAAACTGTATGGAAGTCCGACAACCTAGGAGTTAGAGAAGAAATATTCATCTAGACCAGTAGGAGGGGCGGAGATGGGCTGTCTGGGTGCAGAGTATTTATGGCAAGGCGGCGGACTGTGGACAGGGCAGTTCCACGTTTGCATGCAGATAAACCATGAGGAACAACTGGGGAATGAGACAGACCTCGAAACCCAGAGTTCTATTAGTGGGAAATAAAGCCTCAAAACCTCTGACTGAAAACATCTGTGGGGGTTTTGGCAGAGGGAGAAACTCTCAGCCTCACAGGAGAGATCACTGGAGAGACCCACAAGGTCCTAGAACATACACAAACCTACCCACCCAGGAATCAGCACCAGAAGGGCCCAATTTGCTTGTGGGTAGTGGGGGAAGTGCCTGAAAGCAGACGAGAACTGAGCAAGCAGCACTGTTCCCTCTTGGACCCCACCCCCCACTGACAGCACCCCAATGCACTGCAGGATGGGCAGTCCCACCATGGAGAATATCTAAGGCTCCACCCCTTACTACATAATAGGTGCACTGAGACAAAAAAAATATGGCCCAAATGAAAGAACAGATCAAAGCTCCAGAAAAAATACAACTAAGCAATGAAGAGGTAGCCAACCTATCAGATGCAGAGTTTCAAACACTGGGATGCTCACAGACATGGTTGAGTATCATTGCAAAGTAGAGGAGAAAGTGAAGCCTATGAAAAATGAAATTAAAGAAAGTGTACAGGGAACCAATGGTGAAGGGAAGGAAACCAATATTCAAATCAATGGTTTGGGGCAAAAGGAAGAAATAAACATTCAACCAGGACAGAAAGAAGAAAGAGAAATTCAAAAAAATGAGGAAAGGATTAGGAGCCTCTGGGACAACTTTAAACGTTTCAACATCCAAATCATAGGACTGCCAGAAGGAGAAGAGGAAAAGCAAGAAATTGAAAACTTATTTGAAAATATATTGAAGAAGAACTTCTCTAATGTGGCAAATGAAACAGACTTCTAGGAAGTCCAGGAAGCTCAGAGAGTCCCAAAAAAATTGGACCCAAGGAAGCCTACAAGGCACATCATAATTACATTACTCAAGATTAAAGATAAAGAATCTTAAAAGCAGTAAGAGAAAAAGAAAGCGTTACCTACAAAGGAATTCCCATAAAACCATCCAATAATTTCTCAAAAGAAACCTTTCAGGCAAGAAGAGACTGGAAAGAAGTATTCAAAGTCATGAAAGGCATGAAAATCATGAATGACCTACATCCAAGATTACTCTATCAAGCAAAGCTATCATTTAGAATGGAAGGGCACATAAAGTACTTCTCAGATAAGATCAAGTTAAAAGAGTTCATCATCGCCAAGCCCTTATTATATGAAATGTTAGAGACTTATCTAAGAAAAAGAAGAAGCTAAAAAATATGAACATAAAATGACAATAAACTCATAACTATCAACAAATGAACCTAAAAAAAACAAGAATGAAAACAAAAAATGAACCAAGCAAAGAACTAGAACAGGAACAGAATCACAGAAATGAAGATCACCTGGAGGGTTATCAGCTGGGAGTGGGACGGGGAGAATAGGGGCAAAGGTACAGATAATAAGTAGCATAAATGGTGGGGACAAAGTAGACAGGGGGAGGGTAAGAATAGTATAGGAAATGGAGAAGCCTAAGAACTTACATGCATGACCCATGGACATGAACTAACTGGGGGGATTGCTGGAGGGACAAAGGTCAATCTTTACCTTAATTGAGCCTGTCTATTATCTTTTTGCATCGATGATAATATACTTTTGGAATATCAAATTTCCTTTTTCTGGATCCCTCAAAGCACAGGCACAGCACCAGAGACAGCCCATGAATCCCTGCACTGTTACTATTATGGTGTTAAATGCTGACTGTTAAATATACTGTACTCACCTGTGTAAAAGAAGTATCTATCATTTTAGTTTTTATCCAATCCCAGAGGTCTTGACCCCACTGCTTCACTTTCTCCCACCTCCCTAACCTATTACCAGTGGATTTCATGTAACCCGCTTATGCTTCCTCTTTTGACTGTAATGTCTAAAATAAGGTGCAAAACTGCCATTTTCCAGAGCATTTTCTCAATCTGTTGAGATTCTCCTTCCTGGAAATTGTCGTCAGTTTGGCTCTAATAAACTCACAAAAATTCTCTATAGGACTGAGTGTTTCTTACATTGACACAGATAAAGAGATCATCATAGTTACAACTTATTCTCAAATATTTTAGAAAAAATAGTATGAATATACAGAGAGAGTTACAGAATGATAATACAAAACAAATGTGGCAAAATGTTAACATTTGAGGGATGTAGGTGAAAGGTATATGAAAATTTTTTGTATTTGTATTCTTGCAACTTTTCTGTAAGTCTGAAGTTACTTCAAAATAAAAAAGTTAAAAATAAAATAAAGAAGATCATTTCATGTAGTGGTAAGTGACACAAAGCAAATAAAATGTGGTAATATTATAGAGTTCCTGGAGTGGGTCAGGGTGGGGACCTGCAGAGTAGAGCTTAAACTGGGAAGTCAGAGAAGTTAACGTCTGACCCAGCTGAAAACCACTACTTTACACAGATGACTAAAATGTAGAAACTTTTAGGCCCTGACCAGGTAGCGCAGTTAGTTAGAAGGTTGTCCTGATACACTAAGGTTGTGGGTTTGATCTCTGGTCAGGATACACAGAAGAATCAACCAATGAATGCATAAATAAGTGGAATAACAAATTGATGTCTCTCTCTCCATAAATAAACATAAAAAAAAATGTAGAAACATTTAGTAGGGCAAACCAAAACATGTGACCTCATTTTCCAAGTTACTGAATGTAGGTGATAGGAAAGGGAAGCGGAAATACTCCATTTCCTGCAAGGAAACTGTTTTCTTTGTGGGGGCGCTCTCTTGTCAGATAATTTGACCATCTCCATTTAAATACAGGTTGAACAATTAGCCTATCCAAACCTCTGTTTCCTCATTGACTCATATAGATTAAATGCACAATATAAGCAAAGCACTTAGTACAGTGTGTCTGGTACATAATACTCAATAAATGCTGGTTATTCTTATTATAACCTGGGCACTCCTAACTCTGGGTTTTCTCGTCCCACTTAGCTTAACCCTCCTTGAGGGTATAATGAGTGTCTGAGTTGGCAGGAGGAGACTTTGGTACTGAATTTTGAAAAATCTTTCTAACCATGGTTGACTACCACTGACACAGAATATATGTATATAAATCAGAAGCATACTATTTATGCAGAAAAAAGTGAGTATCATTAATTAGACTGAGAAAATAAAAAACGCACTAACTTGTCTTCCATTGAGGTACAACTATTGCTTTAATTCAAACATTAATTCAATGTAAAAAATGAGCACAAATTCTAAAGTGAATGAAATCCATTTGAGAAATTTTCTTAAAATTCAGAATATTTCTATGTTAAAAAGTAGAGAATTTTAAGATAATTTACTAAAGACAATTTATAAATGAATACCTATGATGCTTATAAGCTACCTAGATGGAATTATCAACTATTTTTGAAAAGTCTAAGATTAGGCATGAATTAGAAGTCTTGGAAGCCCTGGCTGGTGTAGCTTAGTGGATTGAGCGCAGGCATGTGAACCAGACAATCACAGTTCGATTCCCAGTCAGGGCACATGCCTGGGTTGCAGGCCAGTTCCCTGCAGGCCAGTTCCCAGCAGGGGATGCACAAAAGGCAACCATACATTGATGTTTCTCTCCCTCTCTCCTTCCCTTCCCCTCTAAAGATAAATAAATAAAATCTTTAAAAAAAGAAGTCCTGGAAAAGAAAAATATCCAAGAACCTACAAAATGGAGTTTCAGAAAAAAAAGCCATTATATGTAAAAGACTGACACCTCTCTATGCAAAAACGAATGGAAACTTTATCGCGGCTCACCTGTAGTTTCTGCGTCAAGGAGTCTCTCTGTTCCTGGAGTTCTCTGGCATTATCGATTTCCTGTTTTAATCTTTCTATTTCCTAGAAAAAGTAGAGCAATGTCTTTAAGATTTAAGCAATATAAGGAAAAAGAAGGCCCCATTATCCTCTGAAATTACTGTCCCAGTCCTTTTTTAAAAAACAAGTTAAAGAACATTCCTTTATACTGATTTTTAGAGAGGTGACATCATCCTTTTTTGATTGCTAAAATGATCTTTATTAAAATTAAGAAATTTCGTCCACCAAAAGGGATCATTACAAGAACATGAAGTAGTCACAGTGAATTCATCTTTCTAGGCATGTTGTTTGGTACACAATACTCTTAAGAAACGAACAACAAGCCTGCCTTGGTGGCTACGGTATAGCGCTGCTGGGAAACAATCTGCACATTTTAAGGCTGTTTCAAATTTTGTGGGTGTAAGACTTTCCTGGAATGTTAAATCTTTTGACTGAATACCATAGAAAGTAACAGCTTATAAAATATAACTTCTAATAGTTTTCTGTTGATCATATGAATATAATAACTCTCATGCAGAAGGCAACAAGTGGTATCTCGTTCTAACTGCCTCACCGTAGTTCATAACGACAGAAACAAGGATGGGGGGGGAATATGAACAAGGTTAACATCACTCAAGAAAAAGTTCAAGCTAAAAAACCCCTGCACAACCTTCCCTTACTCCATAAAGTACATAGTCTTTAATATTTGTACACGTATTTTAGCTGGATTACAGGTGAGGCAGAAGTAGCAAGTACCTCTTCCTTCACTTTCAGTGTCTCTTCCAGTTCCTGTATTGTCTGGTTTAGTTCTGTCTTCTGGGTATGCACGGCATTGGCTTGGCTACTAACACATTCAAGCTCAGTCACCTAAAATTATATGAGAACACAGGTTAAATTATAAGACAATTCAAAGGCTTTCTTACTAGGTCCTTGATAGGTGAATAATGAATTTTGAATCAAAATATGCAAATTAATTTTGAGAAATAGATGGAAGAATAAATAGAATAGATTCTTTAAAGATATGAACTTAAGACAAAAAAAAGCAAGAAGAAAATAACTATTTATATGACTTGGTCATGAAAAGGTTAGGAAAACTTAAGTGATTAATGACAGCAGAGACACCCTATCATGAAAGTCTTTAAAAAGGTCTTCCTAAAATATTTGGACTTCTTAAAAAAAGGACTTCTTAAAATCATATATAGTCATCTGCCTCCCATCTGGAGCTTTCAAATTAAATTGAAAACTGGCCTTGCAGAAGTGAGAAAATTTTCAAATACAGTTCCAAAATGTAAGAGAATCTGGAAGAAAAGATATGCTTAAAATACAACTGGAATGATTCAATACTAGAATGTCTTCATATTACTAGTGTCTCTTATGGCAAAAGACAGTTCTCCCATCAATATGAATTTACTGAGGGCCCAATAGCAGCACAACTTTTAATTAGCTCTTGCTATTTTTTTAGAAAACGGAGAAGGGCCTTGTCCCTAAAAGTTATACCATCCCTAAAGAGTCAAAGTACTGAGTACTCAACATAAACACACCCACTGCTATCCCAGCTCTTTACACAGAATAGAATCTGTTACATTTTGACTCATTAGAATATAGTAAATTTTATACTACCAAGGCAATAGAGCAGGTCTCTTTCACGTTTTCCAAATATTGAATTAACCACCACATTCTCTCACTTTCTTCCTTTGTACTTATGTTCTAGCAGACTTGTGCAAACCCTTATCATCCAGACTTAAACAAAAGCAACGGCCTGCAGGTGGACTTACTCATAATCTTTGTTTACTTTTGTGGCTTCTCTAAACTGCTAACATTCATTTTTCACTGTGGGAATTGAATCCACAACCTTCTGGTGTACAGAAGGACACTCCAGCTAACTGAGTCACCAGGCCAGTGTGTCACAAGCTAATTTTTTTATTGTGGTTAAAAAACAATATAAAATTTATCATCTTAACGGTTTCTAAGTATACATTTCAGTAGTATATAGTGTATTCACATTGTTGTAAAACTGATCTCCAGAACAATTTCATCTTGCAAAGTGAAAACTCAATACTCATTAATAACAACTTTTCTCTTCCTCCTCACAAATTAACTTTCACACTTAGGGCTGAATATTTCTCTGGCTTTATTACTCTCCCTCCTGCCCCCATTCCACTTCTATCTACTTCCCCTGTCCTCTTGACCCTATTACACTCCTCAGATTAAGCTCTGGTACTCAGCCCATTTTCTATGGTCTGTGGAGCTCACACTTCCTCAGCATCCTTAAAAGAACATTAGTGGCATTTGCTTCCCACTGGCTGAATGCATATGCTTTGAATTTAAAAAATCTGTTATAAGTAATTGTTTGGTCTTCTGATGTTTATGGCATTGGGATTTATGATTTTTGTTTTTCTTCTCGGTATATTTATTATCAACTTTTATAAAAAATTCTCTTTCTTTTTCAACTTTTTTCTTTCTTTAAAAAACAACAATAAAAATAAAAGCATTACCATTAACTCAGTGAAATTACATGTCAAGTCAATAACTGTACGGAGAATATATTATTACTGCTATCTTATAAATGAAAACACTGAGCAGAAAGAGGGGAATAACTCACCAAAGGTCACACAGCTAACAAATGACAGAACAAAAATTTAAAATCAGGTTTTACAGTTCCAAAAGCTGTGGACTCTTAATTCTCATTACACTGTGGAAAACACTTTTCTTAACCAATAAACTCACATATCATCTAACCCATATATGTTCCGAAAGCCCATGAAAATCTCCAAGCGACGTCCCTGTGCCGAGCCTACCCATGAGTTTCCTCTGATCAAAGATACTGGCCAGCCATCACCCCACGGACATCGGGCCTGGACTCACCCGCTTGTGCAGACGCTCTGCTTCCTCCTGATACGCAGCCAGTTGCTGTTTCCATTGCTTCACGTTGGCAGTGGACTCCAGCAGGGCTGCCGTGAGTTTGGCATTATTTCCTTTGAGGGTAGCCAGTTCAGCCTCCCAATGTTTGCTGATTGCTGAACTGAAATAAAAGAAAACTCTATCTATTACACTGAATATTATTATATTGAATGGACAGTGGTACTCAGTTCTATCATTTGGTTTACAGTCCATGAATATTGCAAAAACAACCCAAGAAGAATAAAAACACAAATATTTCACTGAAATGTTCCTAGGGAAGAAAACCTAGCAAGTGAAGGAATATAAAAAGTTCCAAAGTAGTAGCCTTAGTATGGAAAAGTTCTGTTCACAATGCCAGATACAAGTATCTACAGAGGAGTTTCTACTCATTCTCTTTTGAAGAATAAACATTATATGCTGAAAAATATCCATAAACAAAGCCTAACAATGTACTATATACTATTAAAGATTTTATTCATTTATTTTTAGAGAGAGGAGAAGGGAGGGAGAAAGAGGGAGAGAAACATCAGTGTGTGGTTGCTTCTCACGAGCCCCCTACTGGGGACCTGGCCCACAACCCAGGCATGTGCCTTGACTGGGAATCGAACCAGCAACCCCTTGATTCACAGGCCCACACTGAGCCACACCAGCCAGGGCTGTACTATACGTTTAAAGAGCATCATAGACTGAAGTACAATTTCATTTCCTCACATAAAACATATGGGCATGTTTCAACATGTAATATAGTATTTAAAATTACTGTTGATTTATTTCATCTTATTCAGAATTTTTAAATGCCCAAAACACAAAAAAATTACTGCAATAAATTGATTTTGGGTCACATAACAGGTCAGACCTAGAAACTATGAAGTTCATTTCTGACAGAATTCCAGTGTCACTGATAGAACAAAACTTAAAGCAATCACCCTTTTCCCTATTTAATGTCCTACTTTATAAGTTACCCAAAGTTAAGTATTTCAACCAAGACGATTTTCTATTACAAAGACAATTCTACTAGCTGGAGAGCCCCCCTCTTGATAATTACTTTCTTAACTTTATAATGAAGAAAGAATTGCCTCATTTGAAGGAATACGGTGGTTTCTCTTTCTCATTATTGAACAGTTTATTCCTATTAGTGAAATTATACTAACCTCATTAAATATCTAGTGATAATAGCTTTCTTTAATCATATTTCATTTTTGATGTCCTTTGCATCATAGAACAAATGCTTTGATGGGCTGATATTTTATAGCAATTTTAATATATATCAGATAAAAGGAAGCACAGTTTCTATCATCAAGACTTCTAAATCTTATCATGAATAGTAAGACATACCAGCATTATGAGATCATTTCTGTGTTCTTCTTGCCAAAAACGCATAACTCTCATCCTAATTATGAGAAGACATTCTATAAACCCAAACTGAGAAACATTTTACAAAACTGACTGGTACTCTTCAAAAGTGACAAGAAGAGATAAGACTGAGAAATAGAATGGAGGAAACTAAGAAGGAATAATTAAATGCAATATTGGACCCTGGATAGGCTCCAGAACAAAAAAAGGGACATTACTGAAAACCGATTATCTGTGGCTTAGTTAGTAGTATTGTATCAATTTAATTTCCTGGTGAGATAATTATGCTATGGTTATGGAAGATGTTAACATTAAGGGAAGCTGGGTGAGAAGTTATATGGGAATTCTTTGTATATTTTGTAAATTTTTATATGTCTAAAATTAGTTTAAAATAAAAAGTAAAAATTTTCTAAACTTCACTAAGAAAATGTCATCAGAACATGAAAGAACAGAACCAAACAATTAGTTAAGCTATTAATTTAACAATCCATTTCTATCCTTAAAAATAAAGTTCTTTCTGGTTCTTATTTTGTGGAATGATTTTCCAGATTCAAACTTTCTGAGCAAATCTTGCACTGATTCACCTGCTCTAACTAAATTATAGATTTGTTAAAATCGCCTCCAGATGTGGTGATTTTATCTGCTACAGAGATGAGTTTTAGTTAAATGGACCCTTCAATCTGACAACAAAAATTTCATTGAACTAATTTAAACATTTAATATGTACATATATAAAATGCCTTAAAATTAAATAAAAATAATTTTGAATATTTATTTCTAAAATCCACTTGTCAAAAGTTTTGCCATTATAAACTAAGATTACCATGTCTTTATAGCAGAAAAAAGAACAAAAACACAGTGTTTTGCATCTTATTTCTCTAGATCTTTTTTTAATATGCTATAAAGAGCAAAGTCCATTAAAAAGTTGAGAACTCCGCCTCCTTCACTTTGTTGCCGTAATTATCTGTATAATCTTTTGATAATCGCTTATGTGATAGACTAGTCTGTCAACCACTTTGATCTCAGTTCTTGATATGTCACATAAATGGATTAATCAAGATCTGCAATTTCCAAATGTTAGCCACTAATTGCATGTGGTCATTTTAATTTAAATTGCTCGAAATTAAAGTTAAAAACTCAGCTTCTCAGCCCCACTGGGCACATTCAGGTACTCAGTGCTCACACAAGGCTCGCGCTACCACACTGGACGTCAAAGACAGAGAGAACTTTCCAACATCACAGATCGTTCCCCTGGATAGCACTGTCTTACATGATCTCTACATCTCCGACTGCTTTTTAGTTCTACGTGTTATGGGCCGACTTGTATCATCTCCCTGGCCCCCCAAATTCACACGCTCAAGTTCTAACCCCAGTATCTTAGGCTATGACTACATTTGGAGATAAAGTCTCTTTTTAAAGAGTTTATTTATTTGTTTTTAGACAGAGGGGAACAGAGAGGAAGAGAAGCATCAACATGTGGTTGTACCCTACTGGGGACCTGGTGCACGACCCAGGCAATGTACCCTGACAGGGAATTGAACCAGCAACACTGGGACTCTCAGGCCTGGTGTTTAACCCACTGAGCCACACCAGCCAGGGCTGAAGATAAAGTCTTAAAAGAGGTAATTTAGGGGTCATTAGGGTGGGCCCTATTCCAGTGAGTGGTGTCCTGATAAGAAGAGGAGATCAGGACACAGACAAGTGCAGAGGAAGATTATGAGAAGACTCTGGAAGAAGACAGCACCAGCCAGGCAAGGAGAGGCCTCAGAGGAAAAAAACAAAAACCCGTCAACATCAAGATGCTCTGAGACTTCTAGCCTCCAAATCGTGAGAAAATAAATTTCTACTGTTTAAACTACTGAGTCTGTGATATTTGTCAGGGCAGTCCTAGCAAGCAAACTAATACATACAGCTTCAAAAAAAAAAATCCACACCATGTATCTGAGATATTGTGATTGATAATAAATATGTATTTTGGTCTTTGTCCATGGTTCCTGGCTCACAGCTCCCCAAACCCTTAGGGTTTCCTAAACCATGGGAGCAATGAGAGCATTTTTTTTGTGACAAAAGAGAGTTGTCACAAGAGAGAGTTTTTGTGATAAGACAGAGAGATGGAACTTTTAGTGCCATCCCCAGATTTCTGGGAAGGGGAGACAGTCTGAAGAGTGAATCAATCACCAATGGCCAATAATAGAATCGACCATGTCTATGTATAACAGCCTCCATAAAAACCCATACAGATAAGATTTGGAAAACTTTTCCAGGCCGCAAACTCCGCAGGGACAGAATCTCCAGGAATCCCTGGATGAGGAGAGTGTCTACCACTACGGGAAAGGCACAGAGCGTGGCCAGGCTCCTTCTTCGCTACAGGAAAAAAAGGTCCTTAGGCCTCTGGGAGGACAGCAAATCTTGTCACCCCGGCCTCCCACCCTCCCAGGCACAGGCGAAGACCTGTTACAACGGAGGGAAAAGCAGGAGAATAAAACGCCATAACCCATGTGAGAAACAGAACACAGTCCTGGTCTCAGACTATTAGAGGTCTCTAACCTTGGGAGATGGGGCAGGAAAGTCCTGGACAAGAGCCTCAGCTGTACAAGGCTGAATTCTCCTGCCACTGGGGGAGGAAGAGGATCATGGAGACAGCCTCCTCCCCGATACCCTGGGACACGGGGTCTGCCCAAGAATGAGGGTGGACAAGAAAAACAGAGAACTCTCATCCTGTCCCCTCCTGCCAAGCTGATCGCAGCCTTCTACTTAAGGAAGGTCAAGAGTGTAATGGCAGATCCCCTCTAAGGAAAAGGTACATAGAAGAGACCAAAAGCGGAGGATGGAACAGAAACAAGGAGTAAACTGTCTAGCAATCCAGCCCTAACTCTAAGCAAAAAATAATGCTTGAGGAGTTTAAAGCCTGTGATGTACTCATGGTGACCACAGAAATAACAAACTCCAAATCCAGGTCAACCCCAGTGTAGACTGGCTTAACCCTCATACTGACAGCCTAGCAGAAGAGTCAGGCAGTAAATTTTCAGGAGTAAATACTATTTAACTTTACTGTAAATAATAAACAGTATTTACCTTTATCGAATGCCTTACATTTAACATTCAATAAAAAAATTACAAAAGAAACCAGAAAGAAAAAGAAAAAAATCTATGTCAAGAGAGAAAGCAATCCCGAGTCATACTCAGAGATGACACTGACGTCACATACGTGGAAAAGGAATGTAAAATAGCTATGTGAAATGTTAAAGGTTTAAGTGGAAAAAGGACACAGGCGTCATCACTGGAGAATTTCAGCGAAAAAATGGAAAATGTAACAGGCAAGTAGAAATGTCAGGAAAAAGCAAAACAAAACATGATAAAAGAGATGAAGAATGCTTGACATGGCTGCATAAAAGTCAGTGAATTTGAAAACCTGCCAATATAAATTATCCAAATTGAAATACAAAGCAAAAAAAAAAAAACCGTAAAAAAAGAAACAGGGTACCCACGCCGTGGGACAGCAGACATTGAACTGTGTAATGAGTCTGACTGGATTCCCAGGAGGAGGGAGAAGAGGGCAGAAAAAAGCATTTGAAGAGCTAATGACTGAAAATTAAAAAAAATATATGACATTAAACTACAGACCCAAAAAGCTCAAAAACATTAGCGTTTTCATCACAAACTAAGCAGTGTGGTAGCAATGAAGCAACGGTGCTGGAGGGAATTCCACACTCGAGGAAAATATCTCTCTAAATGTGGGCGAAATAAAGGGCTTTTCAGACAAACAAA